ACCCAGTTACAGATAGAGTGATAAACACCCAGTTACAGATGGGGTGACATACTGCCCAGTTTCAAATGGGAAGATATACCACCCAGTTTCAGATGGGAAGATAAACCACAAAGGTTAAAGATGGGGCGACATACCACCCAGTTACAGATGGGGTGACATACCACCCAGTTACAGATGGGGTGACATACTACCCAGTTTCAGATGAGAAGATAAACCACACAGTTAAAGATGGGGCGACAAACCACCCAGTTACAGATGGGGTGACATACCACCCAGTTACAGATAGAGTGATGTACACCAGTTACAGATGGGGTGACATACTACCCAGTTTCAAATGGGAAGATAAACCACACAGTTAAAGATGGGGCGACATACCACCCAGTTAGAGATGGAGTGACACACCATCCAGTTACAGATGGGGTGACATACTACCCAGTTTCAGATGAGAAGATAAACCACACAGTTAAAGATGGGGCAACAAACCACCCAGTTACAGATGGGGTGACATACCACCCAGTTACAGATGGCGTGATATACACCCAGTTACAGATGGGGTGACATACTAACCAGTTTCAAATGGGAAGATAAACCACACAGTTAAAGATGGGGTGACATTCCACCCAGTTACAGATGAGGCAATATACCACCCAGTTACAGATGGGCTGACATACCACCCAGTTTCAGATGGGAAGATAAACCACACAGTTAAAGATGGGGCAACATACCACCCAGTTACAGATGGGGCGACATACCACCCAGTTACAGATGGGGTAATATACCACCCAGTTACAGATGGGGTAATATACCACCCACTTACAGATGGGGTGACATACCACCCAGTTACAGATGGGGTGATATACCACCCAGTTACAGATGGGATGATATACCACCCAGTTACAGATGGGGTCATATACCACCCAGTTACAGATGGGGTGATATACCACCCAGTTACAGATGGGGTGATATACCACTCAGTTACAGATGGGGTTATATACCACCCAGTTACAGATGGAGTGACATACCACCCAGTTACAGATGGGGTGACATACTACCCAGTTACAGATGGGGTGATGTTACAGATGGGGTGATATACCACCCGGTTACAGATGGGGTGTTATACCACTCAGTCACAGATGGGGTGTTATACCACTCAGTTACAGATGGGGTGTTATACCACTCAGTTACAGATGGGGTGTTATATCACTCAGTTACAGATGGGGTGTTATATCACTCAGTTACAGATGGGGTGTTATATCACTCAGTTACAGATGGAGTGATATACACCCAGTTTCAGATGGCAAGAAAAACCACACAGTTAAAGATGGGGTGACATACCACCTAGTTACAGATGGGGTGACATACCACCCAGTTACAGACGGGGTGACATACCACCCAGTTACAGATGGGGTGATATACCACACAGTTTCAGATGAAGTAATATACCACCCAGTTACAGTTGGAATGATATACAACTCAGTTACAGATGGGGTGATATACCACCCAGTTACAGATGGAATGTAAGAAGATGTACCCAGTGACAGATTGGGTGATAGATAGAAAAGATGATACCCAGTGACAGATGGAAAAACATACCCAGTGACAGATTGGATTACAAGCCTACTGGCAGACAGAGACAGACACTGTGAAAAATAACATGCTCATCCTAAGATATATTTAGTAACAAAATGAATAACAAACCAGTAAAAATCAACCATAAATACATATAGGTATTGGAAACAAATAATTACAATAAGTTATATTAAACAGTGTAGACAACAAGACAACACACTGATGATTCACATAGGCACATGGAATCTACCCTATAATAACTGATATGTCTGGTCATAATGTGCTGTCATTATTTATCAACACACTATCCTTAAATGTTATCTGCTTAATGGTACACATGTTTGTATTTACCTGGACTCAGGGATTCACATGATCTTCTCAGTGCTAGTTCGTAAACACCACTAACACGGTTGCTGCAATAAACAATACAGTGTACGACTTACATCTGTTCTTCAAACATTGATGTGAGTTCACCATTATAGGTATGATTTGTAGATTCCCATCTGTCTTAGCCATACATGATATTGTATGTACACCAGATTTATATGCATCTAATGGTGAAATCAGTGGATATCAGCAGATGAAAAAAACAACACAGCTCCAATTGTCCGAAAGTGCTACTCATTGTATCTGTGCATGTCTCATATAAACTTGACTGAGTTTTGCATAAACCAAACATACATACAGACATACATACATACATACATATATACATACAAGACCGAGTCTCATACAAACAAGGCTGAGTCTCGTACAAACAATTTTCACTTGACCCAAAGACATTCTTATTCTTTATTCACATTCACCTGAAATTGAAAGTATGTAATAAATAAATTAATCAAGCCATTAGACATACCTGTCTGAAAGCCTGTAATTACCACTGCCAAATAGACTTCGTAATGATCTTGGTGCTGCTATCTTGGCATCTCTTTCATGAATCTGAAGACTGATATCTTTTGTTATGCACGCTGACTGAGCACAGTTGTCAAGCTGCAATTGTAACAAATAAATATTTAATCTGAAGCCACAGTCCAGTTAAAGTCTTGCTGAGTGTTTGAAACCAAAAAGGTTATTTATTTATAATAGGTGATTTTCTGCTAACTGTGTGATCTTGTAAATTGTGTGAAAGACGCAAACTAAACGTTTGTCTACCATAAAAAAATCAATCGATTTGATTTCGAAATCAAATTTCTTTTTTATACCTCAATGTTGATATCTTTGAGAGAAAAATATTTTATTCCCATACTACATCAAAATTAACCATCATCAAATGTGTATGGCATATTAAAAAATGTGAAAATATCCTCAAAAATATTTGCGTTTGTTGAATCGCATACAATTTTTTGACGTCACTGCAATGAATTTTGTTTGTTCTGATTTTAGACTCAATTTCATGCATAATGTGGGATTTCGCAATGAATGGAAAAAGGTCTAGTAATGCATTAACAGTTTCACATAGGGATTATAGTCTCACCTCCAGATATGCAGACATTGTCAAATACACGGTTTCACCGTATGGAGTAACACGATTTAATAGAACGGAGTTGTGCAGAGAACTGTCCCATGCCGCTTCAAACCGGAAAATAGTTCTGTAATAATAAAAAGGCACTATAGTTAGTATATGATATGTTTATGCATTGTTAGTGTACTTAGTGGATGGCTGGCAATACAATGAATTTGCATTTCGTAAAAGCATGTACACTTATATTTGTGTATGCATGGTCATATTTTTAATAATACAGTAACAGTAGGCAATAAATGTAATTTATGGTCTATGTAGATTTCTTGAGATGTGCATCTCACAGATCAGATACCAGACACAGTCTAGTTTATGTGCATTTGGTAAATTAGTGAATATATGGGCAATAGTCATATTCTGTAATCTGACTCCTGGGCAATAGTTCAGTGGCGATCTAGGTTCTATTAATAGAAGGCTAGGCAATAGTCATATTCTGTAATCTGACTCATGGGTAATAGTTTAGTGGCGATCTAGGTTCTATTAATAGACTGCTAGGCAATAGTCATATTCTGTAATCTGACTCATGGGTAATAGTTTAGTGGCGATCTAGGTTCTATTAATAGAAGGCTAGGCAATAGTCCTCTTCTGTAATCTGACTCATGGGTAATAGTTTAGTGGCGATCTAGGTTCTATTAATAGACTGCTAGGCAATAGTCATATTCTGTAATCTGACTCCTGGGCAATAGTTTAGTGGCGATCTAGGTTCTATTAATAGAAGGCTAGGCAATAGTCCTCTTCTGTAATCTGACTCATGGGCAATAGTTTAGTGGCGATGTAGGTTCTATTAATAGACGGCTAGGAAATAGTGCTATTGTGCTATTTGACTCCAGGGCAAAAGTTTACTGGCGATATATTTTCTATTAATAGACAAAACTCTGTGATATGATTCCTATATTTCCTATATAGTGAACTGCAGGGCAATATCTTCTGGACCTCAGGACAATAGTGTCAGAGTGAAATCCAAGATTGCAATATCTTACCTATCATCACCTGGCAATGGTGTAAATCTTGCTGGCAGTAGATTCAGTGATAGTACTGATAACTCAGTGTCAGGTTCAATGACCTCTACAGTAGTGCGAATACGACCTATCAAATAAGAATAAGTTAGAAACATCAGCTTTCTTGCCAACAACAATATCAGATAATTTTGAATAAAGCAAATAGCCTTAAAAAGAGGTTTCACCAATTTGCAATTTATCACACAGATGATGTGATGTCACCAATAAAGCAGGGGGAATTTAAAGTATCAACAACAAAATGGTGGGAATAACAACTACAAGTAAACAGACAAAGTACCCCTCTATACTTCGCCTTCAAAAAAATGCTGAACAAAATGTATTGAGAACAGAAAAAAGCATGAAGACCACACAAGTATATGCTGTTTTACACAGATATGCCTGCAGATTTAGTGTTATTTTGTTTTGTAAGAATCCAGGTTGCAAAATATTTGTAAATTCAGAGAAACATAATTTTATATTCATACACACAGAACAAACATAAATTTGGACAGATATATATGTATGTATAAAAAGATAATCAGATGTCTCTGAAAAACATCATGTAATACTGATAACAAAACCAAAGTGACAGGATAATGTATACTGGCTAATAATACAGCAACCCATAAAATAGAAACTTTTTTTTTTATCAAAAATGTTGGTCTCATGAGTTCAAGAAAAGACATAACAATAACCGAAGCTGGTAAATATTTATACAAATTATTTAAAACAAGAAATAGCAATGAATGCAATTTTACTTTAGTATTATATGTGTTGTATGTTATTACTAACAATTTATGATGATATCATACTTACAATGGATTATGGAATAGTGTTAATTCTATATTCATTTCTATGGTTGACCCAATCATTATTATTATTATCCAGAATTGTGATGACTGCTTTCATATAATGTTGTTTGACTTACCTACAACAAGTTCTTTCACTTCTTTCCAACTGATATCTTGTGCAGATTCATGTATAACAGTGATAGCCATACGTCGTTGTATGCCTTGGTGTAGTAGGAAGATACCACCACATGGCATTTCATCACTGTGATCGACAGCAACAGGTACATATCTACAAAGCAAAACATATTAGCTTGAAAAGTAATCTCTGTACAGTACAGTCCAAGCATAACCTAACCTTTAGCTAGCTTTGAGCTAGCTACGCTTGCTCTAAAAATCGAAATCGAAATTGTGCAGTGTATTTTGTCTAATATATCTTGTATTAGTAAATTGGGTAAATACTACAAAGTACAAGTTGAACATATTGATGACAATATCACATATTTTAAATTTTTTTATGGAAGGGCAATTGCCAGTTTTTAGAGTCTACTTTGAAGAGAAGTTACAGTTGAGCTGTAATTGTATATATCATGTTTGTATATCGGAGAGAATGTGGAAGGAACTTGAAAATTTTAAAATGTCATACTTCCGGTGCCATCTAATTATTCTTTAATAGATTAGACAATGCGACAAGTTCTTCATGACGATGTATCTTCAAATATGCATCACTGACAAGGCTATCTTTGTCTGACAACGAAATCTCGTCAGTCATTAGTGGTGCTATTTAGAAACATGTTCATGCATGAACTAACAAACATTTGATGTCCAACATTCATGCACTGCAACATTGGTCACACCAACTACAGTCATGTCAGTTCTGATTTTAGAAACATTGCTGTATTGTAAACATTTTGTTTAAAGCTTTTGGCATTAGAATGCGCAATATAATAAATGTAACAGATATGATATTCAATAGTTTCTTGCCTACAAATTATGATTTTCCAACAATTCAACTTTAATAGTGGTATTATGAATAAATATAAATTACTTACTCTCCACTGGGTGCTAATTCACAGATTTCAAACCATACTAATAAATCCAATTTACTGTGTAAATGTGTGGTACTCGGCGCTGATACCAAACCAATCTTTGGTGACGGAACTGGAAGATACACTGTGATAGTTTAGTTGTTCTGCATAAAATTCAACTAATTCTGTTGAGTTTTGTAAGTCTAATTAGTCAATAAAATTGTTTCCAATGATAGTTATCTCATCAATTATTTTTAACTGATAAAAAAGCATAGAAATCTTCACACTCAATAAGAAGAGTTTGCAGATATAGCGGTGAGTTCATTCAAGTTAGTAGCCGCCCCATATAGCTTAGATTACCATCCATCTTGGAATGCATAGTTTTACATAGCAGTTTTATTGTTTTATGAGAAATATTACAATATTCCAAGATGGCTGAAACTATAGCAACACCGTTAATAATGCTAATAGAAGACATAAAAAATAGTTTGTAATAAAACATATGGAGGTTTACAGTTACGTTTTTAACCAGAAAACATTACATGTTTGAACCTGTCATACTTTGCAGTATCAGGTAAAGCTAATCAGCTGAGTATTTTCTTTCTATGCTTGTGTGTGTGGACTGTCTGCTAGTGTGCGTGGACTGTCTGCTAGTGTGCGTGGACTGTCTGCTAGTGTGCGTGGACTGTCTGCTAGTGTGCGTGGACTGTCCGCTAGTGTGCGTGGACTGTCTGCTAGTGTGCGTGGACTGTCTGCTAGTGTGCGTGTGTATGGACTGTCTGCTAGTGTGTATGGACTGTCTGGCAGTGTATATGGACTTTCTGCTAGTGTATATGGACTGTCTGCCAGTGTGTGTGGACTGTCTGCCAGTGTGTGTGGACTGTCGGCTAGTGTGTGTGGACTGTCGGCTAGTGTGTGTGGACTGTCGGCTAGTGTGTGTGGATTGTCTTCTAGTGTGTATGGACTGTCTGCTAGTGTATATGGACTGTCTGGTAGTGTGTATGGACTGTCTGGTAGTGTGTATGGATTGTCTGCTCGTGTGTATGGACTGTCTGGTAGTGTTTATGGACTGTCTACCAGTGTGTATGGACTGTCTGCCAGTGTGTATGGATTGTCTGCTAGTGTATATGGACTGTCTGCCAGTGTATATGGACTGTCTGCTAGTGTATATGGACTGTCTGGTAGTGTGTATGTACTGTCTGCTAGTGTATATGAACTGTCTGCTAGTGTGTATGTACTGTCTGCTAGTGTATATGAACTGTCTGATAGTGTGTATGGACTGTCTGCTAGTGTACATGGACTGTCTGCCAGTGTGTATGGACTGTCTGCTAGTGTGCGTGTACTGTCTGCTAGTGTGTGTGGACTGTTGGCTAGTGTGTGTGGACTGTCGGCTAGTGTGTGTGGACTGTCGGCTAGTGTGTGTGGACTGTCGGCTAGTGTGTGTGGACTGTCGGCTAGTGTGTGTGGACTGTCGGCTAGTGTGTATGGACTGTCTGCTAGTGTACATGGACTGTCTGCCAGTGTGTATGGACTGTCTGCTAGTGTGGGTGGACTGTCTGCTAGTGTGTATGGACTGTCTGCCAGTGTATATGGACTGTCTGCTAGTGTATATGGACTGTCTGGTAGTGTGTATGTACTGTCTGCTAGTGTATATGAACTGTCTGCTAGTGTGTATGTACTGTCTGCTAGTGTATATGGACTGTCTGATAGTGTGTATGGACTGTCTGCTAGTGTATATGGACTGTCTGCTAGTGTGTATGCACTGTCTGCTAGTGTACATGGACTGTCTGCCAGTGTGTATGGACTGTCTGCTAGTGTGCGTGTACTGTGTGCGTGTACTGTCTGCTAGTGTGTGTGGACTGTCGGCTAGTGTGTGTGGACTGTCCGCTAGTGTGTGTGGACTGTCCGCTAGTGTGTGTGGACTGTCCGCTAGTGTGTGTGGACTGTCGGCTAGTGTGTGTGGACTGTCGGCTAGTGTGT